GAGATGCGGGAGCAGTATCCCGGGTTGTTCACCACAACAGACTTCGAGGACAAGTCTAGTTCAAGTGGGGGAGAATTGTAACATCCTGATGTTCAGGTACTTCTAAATTCATCCCTATAATCTTATTATATCGCATTTTGGTCCTTAAAGTAGAAGGAAGTATCCATTGAAAGCCCTAATGGAAAAAACGTTATTTGGGAGGATAAGAGTACGTCATGCGTATGTGTATACGCTTAGCGTACTATGGCGCGCCCTAGTACGCTAGGCGTACATCAACGTACGCGGGGCGTACTCATTTGATGTAGAAACCCTAAATTTTAGGGTTAAGACCTATATAATCATCCTTATAGCCTCATTTCCCTTACCTTTTCAGCCTCTACTCTCCTTGAGACGTTTTTGCAAACCCTAATCCTTAAGTGTGTGTGTGTTCTTGGTGTTGAAGGAAGAAGAAGATTCATTGAGGAGCTTTGGTGTGGAAACAAGCTTGTAGATCTGAGATCTTTATCTCTTTGGGAGGCCCCAGAAGGTATAAAGCTTTGATTTTGACTTGTATTTCCTAAAGATCTAGGCATATGAAGTTTTATGAGTTTAGTCCCTTTTTCTTGGACTTAATGAGTAAATGCTACTCTAGGAGCAAATGAGCTATCCTTTCAGAAGATTTGAGTTGTGCTAAGTCATAAAAATGCTTTCTTTACTCATTTAGTGCTTGCATGCAAGGTATAGAGGTCTTAAGTGGTTAAGACAAACTAGGGATTTGGTTTTGGGACTTAACAATGCATGCATAACCATATAGTTGGAAACTTTATGGTTAAGAGCACCTTTTTAGACTTGGATATGGATTTGGACATATGGACTTGTTGAATTAAGCACTTAATTGAGGGTTTGTATGGCCACTGCGTACACTGGGCGTACCAGGGCGTACGCTAGGCGTAGGTGGTCAACAACCCGTTATTGGTCAAAGGCGGAGTATACAGGGCATAGAGGCTAGGTACGCTGGGAGTACTCAATTGGGTTGACTTTTCGTTGATCGTTGACCTTCCATTGACTTTTGACCTAGTTTGACTCTGGGGTATTTTGGGAAATTGTTATGAAGTCTAAGGCTGGATCTTTCCCTGTGTATAGGTGATCTGTAGAGTGGACTCGTTGAGCGATATTCTTTTCTGCTATCTTTTCAGGATTAGAGAGGTGAGTTTTCCTCACTGTGCCTTCCGGCCGAGGGCACCAATGCCAACCCTTTGGATTGTTATCATGGTTTATCGTACGATTGTATGTTGTAGTGACTTATTAGATTGGTATCCTGGTATATAGGATGATGCTATGCTTAGTGATCTGTAGATCTGTTTGACTGGCTATAGAGTGTTATATAATAATCGGTTATATGTGCACATGTTTGGTCGGTGGCTGAGGCTTCACTGCTTTGTGCGTAAGCCAACAGGCTGGGGCATACCAACCCGATGGTTGAATGGGCCCGAGGGTATTCCATCCCGAGGATGATTGGACCCATAGTATTTTGACATTCCAACCCGATGGTTGATTGGACCCATAGTATGTCGGTATTACAACCTGATGGTAGAAGGGCCTGGGGTATCCAACCCGATGGTTGGTTTGACCCATAGTATTTTGTTACTTGTATTTGCTATCTGCTTATGTGTTGGTATCTTGGGGGAAACTCACTAAGCTTTCGGCTTACAATTTTGGGTTATGTTTCAGGTACCTCTGATGATCGCGGAAAGGCGAAGGCATGATCGTGCACCTCCTCGTGTTTTAATTTATGATTTTTGGAAAAACTCTGATATTAAACATGTTTTGAAAACTATATTGTAAACAATTATGATTTTGGGTTTGTTTTAAAAGTTTAAAATTTTCATGATTTTTATGGATGTTACACGACTGGCGTTGTCGATGTCGGCTTCTTCCGCTGAAGAGAATGCAGCTCATCGATGGTTAATTTGGAGGTTATTGTGATTGTTTTGGGTGTCGATTTGTTGGTGAAGCAGATAAGTTCCCACAATACGACTCAGTTTGGGAGAGGAAAATGGAAGTTGTGGAAGGAACTACATGTAGAAGGAAATGGAAGGTAGAAAGAGGCATTGGAACGCAAATTGGAGGAATAGCAACGGTGTTAGTATTTTGATGGGTGGAGAAAAATGGCGGTGATGAGGGGAGAATATCAAAATGGAAACACGTAGATGGTGGAATTGAGGCATTCGTGTTGCTGACGATGAGGAAGATAATGGGTGCGATGAAGGGATCTAGAAGAAAAATGAAGTGGTGGAAGCTGCGATGTGATTGGAGGCAATGGCGGTGGACGACCGACTGAAAGAAAAAAGAATTGGTTTTGGTCCAATAGGAACAAAGTATTGTTTACAGAGGAACAAACTTTTAATATATATATATATATATATATATATATATATATATATATATATATATAATTATTTACTATTTCTAAATAATATATGAATCATATGATATATTAATAAATCATTTATCTCACTTTTAATATCAATCCAAGCTATTTCTTGGTTATGACCACAACCCAAAAATGGTTTTACTATTATTCAACCAATTATATCAATTTAGTTAAGATCTAAGACACTTTAATCCAAAAATTATGAACATATCAAACAAGTTTAGTGGTCAAACATGTATAATAAAATATGGTTAGCTATATATGGACAAAAACTAAAGTTTGTTACCCATTTTAGTAATTTTGGTTCTTTATTCCAAGTGCAAGTAGTCATAAGACCCATTGATGTGACATGGAATCGAGTCATTAGGTCTTGGTGTCATATATGGATCTTAGATCTGGAGTATGTGTCGTTAGCGAGTTTTCGACTTATTCATAGCTATCATAAGAGAAAAAATGATTAGAATCTCCCCAGGGACTGTGCCCCAGCGCAGGCTCAAACGATCAAGTTAGATTGATGTGTATGGCGAGATGGTTTCTCCTTGATTGAGAGAACCATCTTTGTGGAAAGAGTGTATGTATACAGTGGATGATCACGTTTGAGAATGAGAGATATTCCTCATGGAGGAATATGTGTTCCATTTATAGAGCTAGGTCAAGGGATAATTAGGTTAGGCGTTGAGCCAGCACAGTTCATGCCTAACTAGTAAGAGTCTAGGTTGTGTTGTCAGGCCTCTCAAGCGCGTACATTCCATAATAGTTCGCTATGATTTTGCATATTTGATTACGAATTGTATAGCAAAATACGTAAAAGTAACATGGTTCACGATATGCTCAACCAAGAGCAAATACATTCTTTGTCTCATCAAATTTCTTTAGTTTTTTTTTCTTTTTCAAACTCCGGTTTATACACGGGGGATCCGAGAAAAATCATGTCCAAAATGGGTGACTTGGAAGAGAAGTCTCATTTTTATAGGGTTAATTATCTAAATGTAACATCCTAAAATTTCAGTTTAGAATGTTGATGTAAGTTAACATAATGAATGGTACGTTTTTGTGCTAATGGAGAGACCAAGGCCTTGTGTCCGGTATAATGGGGACAAATGTGACAAATGATGTCAAGTATGCAATGTGTCCGGTATAATGGGGACAAATGTGACAAATAATGTCAAGTATGCAATATGTGTTGCGTTACGGTGGAATATAATGTTATATGTTATAATATCCATTATAAGTGAAATGGTGTAAATAAGTTTATTACTTGAATATGAATGCAAAGAAATAACAAGTAGATTGCCATAATTGATAAAAGAAACAAGTTGCAATGGTGTGCAAAACATGATAAATTTGAAATAAATTTGTAAATGGGTCATGATTTATGAATTACATCATAAAATATTATTTGTTGACGGTTCAATACAAATAAAGGTGTTAATAACACAAAACCAAAACACGTATACTTGTATTCAAATTTTATAATATTCTTGTATTCGGCTTTTATAGTAAGATGTGTGAGTGCGATTAGTGAAAATATGATTCCAATGTATATAATTAATGTTTTATTGGCCATATTATGAAGTTAATACAAAAAGTAAGGATTAGAAAAAAGGATTCAACTCATTTGGAGTCAAAATGAAGAGTTTATGACAATTAAAAAATGGTATATCATTTAGTCATGAAAGGAAGTTGTACCACCTTATGTTCATGGAATTGTAAGTTGAGATATATAACTTTGAGTAGAAAGAATTCAATGTAAAGTTGTAGTTGGCTCAAATACAAATTCATGGATATAAAGATCACTGAAGTCCGAATTCGTATGGAAAAATTACAAATGTTAGAAGTTAGATAAAAATGTTATGGGAAAGTTACACGATCATGTAAAGATTTACACGTGCGTGTAAAGTAGGCGTTTGTCAAAAACTTGTTTTTTCTTGGTTTTTAATGAAGTATAATGCTATTTTGGGATAGTTTAGCAAAAACAGATAGTGTAATACATTACATGGTCCCGCAAAGGTCTGAAACTTAAATGATGCCTAAGTCGGTTCTAAACACTCATGTGCACATACCATCTGATTTTAGGAGCTTCTTCAAGGTTTCTTAAAGGTTCTTGGCAATATATTAAAGGGAAATCAAGGAAGAACAAGGATTAAGCTATCAAGAACAAGAAGATGGAGATAGAAATGGAAATGGTGTAAAGGTGTGAGGTTTTTGTTGGGAAGATGAACCATTTAGATATAAATATGGGAAGACGAAGATATGATACGGAGACATGATATGAAGACATAGGTTTAAGATGTGTATGGACAGGGGTTAGAGAAGACACATATTAGGAGGACTCGGGGGAAGTCATATGAATGAAGATGTTGAAAATGTCGTCGAAGATGATCCGGAGATGAAAAGTCACCGGAAACTAGCTAAACCGCCTATTATCGTTCAAAATGATGTTTGTTTTTGGATAGTTGACGGACCAAAAAAGAGTAAAAGTTAGGGGACTTGTAAGTCATTTGTTGATATAATGAGGGTGGTAAATGTACTTTAGCCTAACAAAACAAAACAAATGAACCGTAAAGTAATTTTTCAATTGAGTTCATTCCAGACTTCCAGTGATGGGTCTCTCATTTTCCCTTGTTCCTTTTTCCCTTCCAAAATCCATACTCCTACTAACTAATTTTCACACATATGCATCAAACACACAGTGATTCCTAGAAGCGATTTCCCACAGGAAGAACCTTCTATTCTCTCCGTCAATTATCGATTCAATAGTATGTTTCTTTCAATGTAGTTGTTCCCTTGAAATCGATGTGTCTCTCAATCTTGATTGGTTAATCGAAGCGTGTGCGTGGATTCGAATTTCTGGGGTTTTCTGGGGACGCAGGTGTGGTGTGGGGGGTTTGTTATATGATGCTTTGTCCTGAATTGAACACTCAGATACAGACATGGCTCCGTGATTACGACAAGATTCAATCTGTCGCCGTGATTCTCATCTACATTCAAGTACGCTCTCTCTTTCTCTCTCGCTCGATATTTATATCTATACAAGTTTATATATCTATCTGTGTGTGTCTCGATATGTACATATAGATGGATCTCTGTATACAAGATTCCGAAATGAATTAGAGCATGAATTGTGTACACAAAGTATAAATACACATATACAATATTTATGTATTTTCAATTTCATATTTCATGTTGATTGATGGAATTGTATATTTGTATCGATGCTTGAAGATTGGTTGTGCTTTGATTGGATCATTGGGAGCATTATACACCGGAGTTTGTCTGGTTGATCTTGGGATTTCATTATTCGCTTTAGTCGCCATTGAGAGTAGCAGCCAAAGTCTCGGTCGAACTTATGCTGTTCTTTTGTTTTCCTCAATTTTGTTAGACATTTTGTGGTTCATCCTTTTCACTCATGAAATCTGGTTAGTTTTTCTCACTTTCTGTTTGTCGATGTACCAAATCTCCCTCCTAACCCTAATCTTCTCCACTTAATTCAGGTACATGTCTTCTGAGATTCATGGAAAATTCGCTATCATTTCTATTAAAGTCACTCTAATAATGCAAGCAATTGGGTTCTCAGTGAGGTCATCATCATCACTGTTATGGATACAGATGTATAGATTAGGGTCTTCACTGGTAGATAATACATATCCCCAAGATGGTGATCAGGATTTGGGGAACAGTTTTATAAATCCTGCAACTCCTTTGTTTAATAGACATAATACTTCTGGTTCTAGTGATGTGTTAGGGGGTTCTATCTATGATCCAGTCTACTACTCTTCTCTTTTCTCAGATAATCAAGATGATGGATCTTTACGTGAGGTATGTATGTATGTATGTATGTATGCATGTAATGTATGTATGTATGTATGATTTGTATGAATTTGATGTGTTTTTTAGGGTGAAAATCGTTTTAGTAGCTCGGGTAGGTCTATATCTGATGTTCCTCAGTTGAAGCCTTCTGTGAGTGGATCTTTCCAAGCTATACATGTAAGTGTTTATTCGTTTTTTTTTTTTTTTTTTTTTGACTTAATGCATAAAGCATGTCTTATTGGGTTAAGTGAGCTGACCTGGCCCACACTGTCCTGTTCCAAAAACATCATGTCAGATGTAAATTAGGTTACCTGCTTAGCTGGCATAAGAATGTTGTTTCATGGTTCTACTTTTTGCTTAAAAGAGATAATGATTTGATGGGTTTAACCTTATTAAAATGATACAATGGCTAAATAAATCCTTGGGAAAATTACACTTTTCATCCCTTTACTTTATTGATATCTGCAGATTTGGTCCCTGAAATGAATTTTAACCTTTTTGTGCCTAAAAAGTAAATTTTTTCATGTTTTTTGTCCCTCTAGTAGACAGATGTATTTATTGGGTGGAGCGACAAAAAATATTTGTTTGAGTAAATTACAGAAATGGTCCCTGTGGTTTGGTCAAATTCGCAGGTTTGGTCCAACCTTTAAAAAGTAGATATGTTAGATCCCTATGGTTTTGAATAATTACACTGTTGGTCCCTTTTGGTGGATGCTGTTAAACATCAGATGTTAAGTATTACGAATTGACTATTTTGCCCTTAGACCAGATTAATTAAAACTAGAGTAAACGGCACAGAAATGGTCCCTATGGTTTGGTCAAATTTGCATGTTTGGTCCATCCTTTGAAAAGTTGATAGATCACGTCCTTGTGGTTTGCAAATCTTGTAAAAATGGTCCTTCCGTCTAACTCCGTTAAAATATCACCGTTAAATCCATATAAAATGACCTTTTTACCCTCATCTTTTGTATTCTTGTTATTTTGTCTTTTTGTTATTTATCTTTTAGCATTTGCTTGTGATGATGCATTGAGACTCTTAATAAAGCTAAAAGTAGTAAATATAATTAACAAAATAACAAGAATACAAAAGATCAGGGTAAAAATGTCATTTTATATGGATTTAATGGTGATATTCTAACGGAGTTAGATGGAAGGACCATTTTTACAAGATTTGCAAACCACAGGGACGTGATCTATCAACTCTAGTTTTTATTAATTTGGTCTAAGGGGTAAAATTAAATGAGGGAAAATTTGACTTTTTCTATTAAGTCGTTCGTTCTGTATTTGCAGGAAAGGAAAACAGCTGGCAGAGTTGGAAGTTTTTGAAGTGGAATGAATTAACAACATTATACACGAAAAAAAGCTATGGGCATAAAAGACCATTTTGCCACTTGTGAAAAGGAGGATTATTCGTTTATTCAAATTTTGCAAGCTTTGTATAGTTGCCCATGCTTGTGGTATTTTTTGCAAAAAAAAAAAAAAAAGTGTAGATGGTGTTTTACTTACTCTCTTAGGTTTATGAGCTTTTGTACTGTGTAAGAATGAGATGAAGTACTCTCAAAGGTGTATTGTCAATGGGCATAAAGACCATTTTACCTTCTCTTAACCATTAAGAGGTTGGAACCAATCAGTTCAGCATTCAACGTGATTTGCCAAACAACCTCTTAATTTAAGAAAATGTAGCCGAAATGAAATTATATCCAACAAGTAGCCAAATTGCACACCAACTAAAAGTGAAAGGGGTTATGATAAAAGTTCCTTAGGAATGTCAATTATAATCTCTGAATATTATTAAAAGAAAAACATTATGAGATCATCTTAAACAATCTGGGCCTTTGATTGTATTTCAATCATATGTTTTCTACATTTAGATCAAATTGCTTACATCATCCTCCCCAAATGGAATGTATTTAATTTCAATAAAAGCTTTTCAATTGTCAAACAAAATTAACTTACATCCGTTGAAATGGAATGTATATAATTCCAAAAAAATCTTCCCATATTTTAAATCTTGAATTTCCGGTTATAAAGGTTTTAATATGGTCAACTTTAAAAACATATTAGTAACAAATCATTTCAATTAATGCATTAATATCAGCCATTAATATAAATATGTTTATATTAGTAAATCATTAATGAAAAATCCATTTTTATTTGGAAACCATTAATACCAAAAAATCAGATTCAAATTAATATAAAATCCATTTTTATTAGGAATCCACAACTCACACTTATTTTTAATCGTTGTTTTTCTTCAAACCTTCTCCTACAACATCATTCTTATTGTTTATAACATTCATCATCATTCTCTACTTCAAACATTTGTTGTTGTGCAGTAGAAGATCAGTACCTTCTTTCGCTTTTTATATTTTTTTCGATTATCTTTTTGTTCCTATATCAAATATATGTATTCATATATTTCGATTTTCTTTGCTACAAATTACATGAAATCGGTTAACTATTTTTCTGAAACTTTTCAAATAAACAAGAAAATATATTACGTACCTTTAACAAAACAGAAATTAACTATATTTGGAATTGACATTAATTAGGAAAATGTTATTTTTATATATTAGAGATGATTATGATTTTTTTTAATTATTATGTCATAAGAATCCGTTTAATTTTGATATGATTTTAAAATATTATGGTATGATCCTATTACACTTTTAGGTTGATTTAATAGGAAATAACATATAATCTATTTATGCACCCTTCGAAATTAAGTATGGAAACAATTTTGTTGACAACTATAATAGTTTTCATACCTCTTTATAATTCATATCTCTTTATAGATAAATACATTGTATACGTCCATTCTATTTCATATAAAAGTTATTTATAATTCTAATTGTTTTTTCTTTCATTTTACACCCATGACACAAAACAATCGTGATGAGATCGTCTTTGATAAGGCTGTTGACATCGATGCATCCAAGGAAACCTGAAACATTCGTGTTCAAGTACTCTTGCTTTGGAAGCAAACTTAAAAAACAAACCAAACATGTTCAACAGCTTGGACATGATTTTAATTGACGAGTAGGTACAATTTTTTCTTTTTATTATTATGTTGCTTTTAATTTGTAAAATTTTAAACTTAACCAATTTTTTTTCACTTACATGGCACTAAAATACAAGCAACAACAAAAAAATCTCATTAGTTCGTTTGAAGCCCTCTTTGTTGAAGGATCTATAAGAGAAATTAGTAGTTTTGGTATGGCTAGAAATGAAGGAGATTACATGCTGGTTGATCATAAGCATAAGAATAATTTTTACAAAACAACCAAAGTTCGTGTATCAAATGATTTTACTGTTATGGTGGATCCTTATAATTTTCTGACTTTCCAAGATTTTATAGCGAGGAATATCGACACTCGTGTTGCATTTGATAAGATTTTATTTTAACATTCTACCTTATCTACACGTAAGTATTTATTGTATTACACATCTATAATACAAAAACCGTTTATTTTTTTGTTCCAGATTTTCTTGGTCAGGTTGTGTCGACTAATCCTATGAAAGTGATTATTGAAAATTCAAGGGAGAAACGGTTGATGAACTTGGTTGATCAGAATCTAAGTTAAGTATATGTGTTTAAAACATTTTAGTTTCTAAAGTATTTTTCTACATGATACAATTAAACATGTCGTTTGCATGAAAATGACATGTTCATCTGCACTTCAATATACATGTTTATTTTAGTATTACTTAAAACATTTCGAATCCGCTAATTATAGAATTTACCTTTTGTCATACAGGAAATAACTCGTTGATCATTATCAAAGGGTCCATTTATGATCTTCTCACTAACAAATTGGTCAAATGTGGTTAGAACTCTTTCACACATTTTTATCACATGTCTTCATACTTTTAAGTTTTAAATTTTCATATTCAAATTCCATTTTTTAGTTATATACGTTCATTGAATTTTTTTTTGTTTAACATACCAACCTACTTTGTTTTATCTTTATATAGTAACAATAAAATTTATAAATTTACACAACAATATACATATTTCGAATTTTATCGTAGTATCATACTTTACAAAATACATTTCCCTCCAAATAATTTTCGTCAATAATTTCATCCAATTTAAATTTGTATTTTCTTTATATAAATTTTTTTAATGATCCCGATTTTTTCCCTCCAAAAGTATATCAAATATTTATGTCTTAGATAATGTTGCCCCATTATAATTATTACTTTCCAAAATATATTCGTTTAATGAGGAATTTAATTTAGTGAAGGAAGTAAATGTTAATTCAAACAATGTATATATTCCATAATTATTACACGAGTTTATTAAAAAAAATATCAAGACGTAAACATTAAGCATTTTTAAAATGAAATTTTAGAATACATACAAACGATGATGTTAAGATTGAATAGACTGAAAAAAAAACTATTAAGACAGTCAATATTGAAAATAGTATAATTATGAAAAATTATGAAGTAAGATAAAATTATAAGATATCAGGAGAGTTGTAAGTACAATTCGTAAAAACGTTACGGTTATTAGAAAAAAAAAAGATTGTTAAGATCAGTAAAAATGCAATATATAAACTAAATTATCACAATAATGAAATGTCATTATTTGATATTTCATATAATTGAAAGATATACCAAATTACATTGATGATATACTAAAATTATTCAAAGTTGCGCCAAGACTAATGCAACGTTATTGCGAACACCAAATAAATAAGAACAAATATAAAAGCTAGCACTTGTATCCATAATTAATTTAAAATAAACCAATCATGATTTAGAAAAGAATTTCCATTGATGATATATTAAAATTAAATCCATATAATATTTAACATTCCATAAATTATACTCTATGACTTTATTTGAATAAATGAAATAGTTGTAAATATTTAATGCAGTGAAAAAAATGGTATATTGGTTGTCAATATAGGCTTAAATTAAGTAACCTTATTATGGAATGAACGTCTAATTAGAATATGTATGCTTATATAACAATATCATAACCATATGTGACGAGGAAGATCATTCAACTAATAAAACAAAAAATGTTGTATATAAAAAGGTCCTTCAACGATTATAGATATTTATCGATTTCAATGTATCTTCTACACATTTCAATAAAACCAATATCCATAATTTTTTTATATAATTATTATGCAATATCTGTAGACATTTGTATGTTTTTTATGCATTCCCCGCATTTAACGCGGGCTATAATCTAGTATTATTTATAACTGAAGTATCATTCAATCTACACATGATTAAATATTAGATATTCATTAATTATTTACATGTTCTTTTTTCATTAATAAAATGAATGAGATCCATATGTTTGGTTTCTTTAAGTATTAATTCATTTATATGAACTAGTTGTGAGACCTATGTATTACATGAGTTAATTTTTTTTGTTAAAAAAAAGTTAAATATAAAGATCAAAATATTTGAAAACTTTAAATTTATAAGAAAATAAGAAAAATAATGAATTATTATAATGAAAATGTTTTTTATCTTTTAAATTTAAATAAATAAACAAAAATAAACTAATGATCTTTAATTTTGGGAATTTTGAAATTAAAAGGTAAGTTGATTAACGAAATTGATATTCATTTATTATTATATTTATTGCAATTATTATATTAAAATAATATATACAATTTAATAAAATAGAAAAACTCATAAAATTACATATAGAAAAAAAAAATTAATTCAAAATAACTACAAAATGACATTTGACAAATTGAATGAGAGTGTGACAAGTGACAAAAAACATTCATTTATTAGAGTGGATATGTAGAGGAGTCGTTGTTTGCTAGCGAAGCGTGTCTATTTTGATAATTTGGAAAGTCATAGTTTATAAGGTTTTATGTAGAAAAGTTCTATAATTTTGGGGAAATTTTTTATAAAGTCTTAATTTTTTTTTGAACAAAAAGGTCTCAAATACTTAACATTTTGCCCAAATTAACGAAAAAATATTTTTTTTATTTTATTTTAACAGAGTATGACAGATTATATAATTTTCTCAAAATAATAGGATTTTTCTGTTAATAAAAAATAAAATTTAGGACTTTATCGAAAATTTTCCCAAAATAATGAGATTTTTTTTTTTTGCATAAAACCTTTTATAAGGATATGTAACATGTAAAACTTTTTTTATTTGAAATTACAAAAACGTTTTATTGGTCGTTTTAAAATAAATACAAGAATTGATTTAATATTTAAGTTTTATAACATTATTTATGGCAGTATTTAGAGTATATTTCAATAAATATAAAATAGTTTTTATATCCATTTAAGATAAAACTTAAACAAAAGCTAACAAAACCTTAATGCAAGGGAGTTCTAACTATCATTTATTTGTAAACCGCTACAACATCCAATGGTGGAACAAAATATAGCGCATATAATTTTTGTGATAGAACGTTTGAAAATTTATACTGCACAAATTTCTTAATTCATACTATGCTGGAAAATTTAAAAGCTAGCACATGCTACCATTTGCAACCAATTGGGTCTACCTCGCCGTGACAACATCTATATCTATAGTTTATAATTATAATAGAGAAAAATGACAAATATAACTATTTTTCTTAA